CCTAAGGACTCTCTGACCCCAAAATGTCTCCCTTTCTGCCTTTGTTCTTCCATCTCAGAACTTAAAATCCTTTTCTTCCTTTAGGAAGCACCTGTTTTCATTTGAAAAGACAGCAGTGGCTTAACCTGAATGTCCAATTGGAGAAAATTCAAGAACAATGATCAAGGACAAAGAAGAATTCCAAACCTGCCAGATCAAACCCTGCCGGGGAGAGATTCACAAGCATGGCTTTGCATTCCTTTGCTCTTTCTCCCCCAGCCTGGGCCGCCGTATTAAATATATTTGCAAGCCCTGTCTCCATGCCCTGGCTTCTTAACCAAGAGTGCTGAAATTGAAGCCATTTTATGTATGATGTGGCCGTGGGCATTTTCTTCCTCTTGGGGAGAACAAAAAAGGCTCCTTTTAAGAGTAACCCTCTCTTAATTTCCACCGGATTCCCAAAGGTGTCTTAAATCAAAGAAAGGTTAAGAAAGCTGTGCTAACAGAAAACTCTTCCCTCCACATCAGAGAGGTGCGAATCAATCTTATTATAAAATTCCTTCCATTGTTGTCCACCTGAAACTAACACAACATTGTAAATCAACTATACTCCAATAAAGTTTTTTAAAAAATCCCTTCCAGAGACTTACCCAAGTTAACTCTTTACTGTCTTTGCCCTCCTAATCTTTTTTTTTTTTCAATCTGTAAGTATTCTTTACTTCCATTAATATTTTCAGAGGTATATTTTCCACTGAAATGTATCAGAGTTGTGTTAAAAATATTTCTAGTTCCTTACAATTCAGTGTCCCCCATATTTTTCACTGACAATTAGGCCAGTGACCTAATACTATGAATGTATTGGGAACAAGTTGTAAGAATACCACTTCTTTTTTTTTTTTTTTTCTGGGAGAAATAAGATCATTTTTATTTGTATTATTGCCGTGGGCAAAATGAGGCTAATAATAAAAGTCTGGGCCAGTGACTATTTGGGCTTACTATTTACAAAGTTGCAGTAATAATAATTGTGTACATATATAGAAGCAGCACTTTTGCACATATTAACTCATCTTTTTTAATAACGGCTTTATGGGCTTCCCTGGTGGTGCAGTGGTTGAGAATCCACCTGCCAATGCAGGGGACACGGGTTCGATCCCTGGCCCGGGAAGACCCCACATGCCGCGGAGCAACTAAGCTCATGTGCCACAACTACTGAGCCTGTGCTCTAGAGCCCGTGAGCCACAACTACTGAGCCCACGTGCCGCAACTACTGAAGCCCACGTGCCTAGAGCCTGTGCTCCACAATGAGGGAAGACACTGCGATGAGAAGCCCGCACACTGCAACGAAGAGTAGACCCCGCTCGCCGCAACTAGAGAAAGCCCGTGTGCAGCAACGAAGACCCAACACAGCCAAAAATAAATAAATTAATAAATAAAATTTAAAAAATAACAGCTTTATGAAGGAGACAGGTATTATTCTCTGTGACTAAGTGAAGTCAGACAAAGAAAGACAAATATCATATGATATCACTTATATGTGGAATCTAAAAGAATAATACAAATGAACTTACTTATAAAACAGAAACAGGCTCACAGACTTAGAAAACAAACTTATGGTTACCAAAGGGGAAAGGTCGGGGAGGAGGGATAACTTGGGAGGCTGGGATTAACACACACACACTACTATATATAAAATAGATAAACAACAAGGACCTACTGTATAGTGCAGGGAACTATACTCAATACTCTGTAGTAACTTATATGGGAAAATAATCTGAAAAAGAACAGATATATGAGTATGTGTAACTAAATCAGTTTGCTGTACACCTGAAACTAACACAACACTGTAAATTAACTATACTCCAACATAAAATAAAAAATTTTAGAAAAGCATACCACTTCTTAACTCCTTATAGAAGCATTTCTAAGTCTGCAAATAAAGCCCTAGCAGAAAGAAATATAAATGTAAGACGACACAGGAAGGGAACAGAGAATCACGAAATCTAAGACATGCCAAGAAACTAAGAGGTTACTTTTCTCTGCCATACACTGCTGGAATTCTTATTATGGTTTCTCCAACAAATCATCATGCAATTATTATTCAAAGACCTCCAATGACAAGGAATTCACTGTCGCACAAGGCATTTTACTCTACCATTGTAATCTTTGAATTCCTAGGAGATTGATCCTTCAAGTTAGGCAAAATCTCACTTCTAGTTAGATTGCTTGAGAAATCTGGGCAACTGGATTCCCTCATGTATTTAGATTATCTTTCAAAAAGTTTAAGGTAGTGTCTGAGTCTCTCTTTTTCCTGATTGTGTTGAGAGAGCACAGTATCCTGTATCCTGCTTACTTTTGTCAGTCTCCCGATCCTGTGCAGGGGGACTAATGACCAGAGAATCAATGACCCAGAGAATCAATAGAAGAATGAATGAATGAACACTTATCTTAGTTGTGTCTCTGTAGGAGAAAGAGATGGCAGGAAAATCCAGCATCCTCAATCACTGAGTCCCCCAGCACTACCTACTAAAACAAGAGGTCCCTAGAGCAATCGTGGTGGGGCGAGGTGGGTGGGGATAGTGATTCTCTGAGATTGAGTAAGGGGGTAGGGGACACTCCATTACTAACCACGGCTTGGACACCCATTTCCTGTATCTTAGACTGAGCTGCAAGGCCTGTACTTTTACACTAGCCCTGAGATCTAACCTTAAACCAAAAAACAAGGCACAAGTATCTCCTTGCTTCCTGCATTTAGCCAGGGTTTAAAACATGTAAATGCCTATGGGGTCAGGTAGAGCCTTCAATGAAGTGAGGCATTAGAGTATAAGAAAATAAAGGTTAAGGCAGAATTCAAGAATGCCTTCCTGACCAGCAAGGACCTGCTGTATAGCACAGGGAACAATACTCAATATTTTGTAATAGCCTATAAGGGAAAATAATCTGAAAAAAAAAAGATATATATGTATGTATAACTGAATCACTTTGCTGGACACCTGAAACTAACAAAACATTGTAAATCAACTCTACTTCAATTAAAAAAAGAGAAAAGGATGCCTTCTCAATTAAAGTTATTTAAAATATGCTGTCTTTCAAAAAATAACACTCTTAGTTTACCCCTTATGGTCAAGAATACCTACTAGACTTGGGGAGGGAAGACTGAATCCCAGCTCTCTCCTTACTTGCTGTGGGATTTTAAGCAAGTTATTTAATGTCTGTCTATATGCCTTAGATTCTACAACTCTAAGATACTGATTCTGTTAATACCAGTAATCACACAGGATTATTGTGAGGCTTAAGTCCTCTGTACTAATTAGAATAGTGCCCAGCATAGAGTTCAATATCTCTATTATAATAGAATGTACGGAGTAATATATATGTAATGTGATATAGTTATTTTTGTTACACAGTCTGTAACCATAAGCATGATCCTGCAGAACCACATCCAAAAGGTGCTTTTGGGGAAATCTGGCATCTCAGTGCTCTGTAACCATCTGACTATAGTCCAGTCCCAACAGAGCAGGATGATCTAGTTTAGAGGAAAGATTGCTGGGCTGACTATCTAGAGACCTGGCATCTGGCCCTAGCTGTGACATGAATTAGCTGGCTGGCCTAGGTTAATCCGTTAATCCATGCCTCACTCTCCTCAGCCAGCCTTATTGACCTTACAGAGACATTTTAGGGGCAAGAGTTAAAAACTGACATGTTTCTATAATGGTCCTAATCATACAGAGCTCTGCTGATAAATAAGAGGTTTAATAACCCATAAGGTTTTCCTTTTCTCTTGCAGAGTCTTTCAAGACCAGACAGTCTTGGATGACCATTCATTATCCTAGTTTCTCTATCTCCTTTTTTTCTTCCCTTCCATGTTGCTTTCAGGATGAATGAGTCCTTTAGAGTTAACCATTGTTATTATTATTGTAAATTAGGCCCGATTCAACCCACAGGTCCACCAGTTTTGAACCTTGCTTGAGGCCCACATATCATTCTTCATTATCTAGTTCATACCTAGTTGGAAAACAAGATGACACAAGGAAGAATAAACCCAAGTAAAAGTAGAGCAAGAGAAATTTCTAAAGTTTCCACATAAGGTCTAGAGAGGGCACAGTGTGTGCTGTGTATCCCCAGCTTCCTGTATGCTCCCCACCAGTGCCACAGTCCATCCTTGTGGTGGATGGTTCAAAAGCCCAAACTCATCTCATTATATAGCAAGTTACAAGAGGGGAAAAGAAATTCTCAATCATAGGAAAGTGTTCTTTGAGACCATACTACAGGGATGTCCACATCTGCCCTCTTCGCCTGTTCCAACTCTTCTCCAGGAGTTTGATCTGAGTGTCCTTGGTCGTGACTACAGAAACTGTCCTCATCATTGCAGGGTAGAATTAAGTAGTGTGAAGAGCAAACCTGGCTTCTGCTAACAGCCATCAAAACTGATGTCCTTCAACGGTCCTTGTACTCATTGGGTTCTAGCCCCTTTATCATTCTAATCTTCACATATTTCCTTTTGTCCACATTCTTTCCAAAATCTGATTCTCAGCACCCAGCCCCATACTTCACAAGGTTATGACTCACACATACTACTTCTCTCTAAGACCTAGGCATTCAGCTTTTATTAATACAGTGTGCATTTACGCCAGTTGTTTTAACAGTCCTCAGTAAAGGATCCTGCAGCAAAGACGACAGGATGTATGTGACGAGTGTCGTTCTGAAATTCAGATACGCTGATGATCTGCTCCTTTACACTTAATGGATTGCAGCACAGAATAAATAATAAAGAATGACTGCTACACAGTTGAAGCAAATTAAAGTCAATGTATTCGAGACTTCAGCAGTGAATTGACATAGCTCCTGAATACCAATTGCAACTCATAAAGGAAAAGCACAATCAAAGGTTGGACTGGAGATCTGGAAAGACACTGCCCAGGTGAGACCACATTAAGTTGAAATTATGCAGAGTTCTGGAGGGTATGTACTGGCCCTCCAGCACAGAATAACACTCCATCAGGCTTCATGCCAACATAACTCACCATTCTTGCAGAGCAGGACAGCCAGGTAGTCCTGAGAAGAAGAGTTGATACAGAGCAGGAGGCTGGGTGCCTGGGCTGTCACAAAGCTCAATGCAATGTTTTCTTTGGATGGGGCTGCATCTGCATAAATCGCTGAGGAAGAGAGGCTTATATTCTTGGTCACTGGGTAGGGTTCTTGAAACATGTAAGTCACTGAAGTGCCAGCCTCAAAGACAGCAGAAACCTCTGCAAAATATCAGAGGGGAAAGCACACATTAAAACATTTGGTCGAGTATGCAGGAGAGCCATCATTGCTTGTTTGTTGTTTCCTATGCATCGGTCACTCTGTGAGAGTTTTTATACGAATTATAGAATATGCTTCCCACAATAATTTTGAAGTGGCAGAAATCACCATTTCTATTTACAGATGAAAAACATGAGGCTTGCCGGGGTTAAGCACCTTGAACAAGGTTGTGTGGCTAGAAGAGAGAGCTCAGATGTGCACTGTGAAATGTAGGACCAGTTTCATGTATGTCTGCAGAATAACTACCACGTGCCCGGCTGATTTCTCGAGAAGCAAAGAGGAGATGTCCCGGCCTCCTGCATAGTAGAGAGAAATTGCACCAGGATTATCTTACTTTCAAAACTGAAATCCTAACAATTCTGGTTTATGTTTTTCTCGTGGGTCAGGAGGGTGTTGAGTGGGCTCAAAACTACTGAGAGTAGTACATTGGGAAAGAAAGTAATTCTCTATGGTGTTGGGAAAGTGTGAGGACCCATGGAAATGGAGGAGAGAAAATCTGTGGAAAGAGTAGGAAAGGCACAGGTATCCAATTCCTGGACTCAATTATTTTATTTTATTTTTTTATTTGAAGGATAGTTGATTTACAGTATTTTGTTAGTTTCAGGTGTACACCACAGTGATTCAATTTTACATAATATGTATCTATTCTTTTTCAGATTCTTTTCCCTTATAGGTTATTACAAAATATTGAGTATAGTTCCTTGTGCTATACAGTAGGTCCTTGCTGGTTATCTCTTTTATATATAGTAGTGTGTTTAGGTTAACCCCCAAATCCTAATTTATCTCTCCCCCCTTTCCCCTTTGGACTCAATGATTTTAAATACCTAGGGAATTGGTTTTCAGTTCCATAAAAGAGCAAAGACTTTGGCAAATAGGCATTCCCATGGGAAACAATTCCTACAGCACAACATAGAGGATACAGATCTGCCATCACCATTAGGAAGGGAAGCCTCTACAGACTGATGACATTCAATTTGCAGGAGCAGGAATCACCCAATCCTCCCTGTATAATGTCTTCACTCCAACTGCTATCATTTTTGTTCAGTGGAATCAGCAAGGATCCAATTTCACCACTGGATCTGAAGCCTCCTTTGATTTCATACTAGCTGTGTGGTTCCAGGCAAGTTAGTCAAACCCATAGAGATGGTTTTCTCATCCAGCAAATGGGAAACATAACACCTCCCTCAACAATATTTCTGGGCAGATAAACAAGAGGATATGTTAAAAGCTCTTAAGAGAGTTACCACGGTAGTTTAAACTCACAGACTCTCCGTATTGGAAGAGAATTCAACCTCAACCCAACTAATGCCCATCATAAAATATATCTGTTTAATGACTGCACATGCATCCAAGTGCTGGGATATTTTTTTCTTTGAATCAGGGCTGCTCTTATGTTTACTTTCAATTTTATCTCTACACAGTATCAGGGTATGGAGCAAAGGTTCCTCGGTAGAACAACAGAGCTTGGATCTGCAACAAACCTCTGCTATGAAAACAGCACATTAGACATGAATCTATTTTTTTTCTTTTTTTTTAATTGAAGTATAGTTGACTTACAGTGTTGTATTGGTTTCAGGTATACAGCAATGTGATTCAGTTATACATACATATATATTTATTATTTTCAGATTCTTTTCCCTTATTACAAAATATTGAGTATAGTTCCTTGTGCTATACAATACGTCTTTGTTGGTTGAAAAACACATGAATCTATATTGGCATAATTAATTTCTCTTCTTTCTGAAAGATTGAGTATCCGCAATTCCCCATGAAGTACTCTGATTGAGTTGGTGGCACCTAGAACATGATCAAACCTGGCTTTTGCTTCCTAATTCCATTGCAAATTTGTTCTACCTTTGTGAAAATTCTGTAACAGCCTGTCACGGTGCCCAAAAAATTAAAGCTGCATATTTATGCATATTGCTTAGCAGACTGGGAATACCGGTTCCTTTTCACTAAAGATTCAGAGAAAGTGTTCTGCATTTTGCAGGTTAGAAAATCATTGGTCTTCCTGATGACTGAGATCTGTGCAGAAACTGGTGACAGGAGGGTTCTAGTTGATCATCAGCTGGATTCAAGCACTCTTCTCAAGTGAATTTCCTTGGGGACATTTGGTCTGCGTTTTGAGCTACTAACTCCTAGTTAACTGAGTAATGGCTTTTATGGGATGTTCGTGTGTGTGTTCAAATGTAAGTATAATTCAGATCATTCTGTCATGAATAGTATATTAGATACAGGCATTCATATTACATTTTTTCCTTATACTTAAGACAGGAAATTAAAATGAAAAGCATTTTTTTTTTTTTTTACAGTATGCGGGCCTCTCACTGTTGTGGCCTCTCCCATTGCGGGGCACAGGCTCCGGATGCGCAGGCTCAGCGGCCATGGCTCACGGGCCCAGCTGCTCCGCGGCATGTGGGATCTTCTCGGACCGGGGCACGAGCCCACGTCCCCTGCATCGGCAGGCAGACTCTCAACCACTGCACCACCAAGGAAGACCTGAAAAGCAGTTTTTAAACTAGAGCTGTCCTACCAAATTCTGTCTTCCCTCCTCCCCAGCCCCAGTTGTATTTTTATTTATTTAGATATTGTGAAGTTCAACCTAAAACTAAATTCAGCAAAACACCTAGATTTGATTATTCTCTCAGTTTCTTTTCTTTTATAATCTAAGAGTTTGAGCTCTCTGATCATATTTAAGCTCTCTGATTGATTTATCTGAACATCTGAAACAACTGGGCACAATGAAAGAAAAATCTTCACTTGAAGGTGATTATTACCAATGACCATCATGCTACTCTAGGGCCATGATAACCAATATTAGCAACATTGGTTGAGTACCTACCTGGTGGAAGAAACTGCTGATTAGATTCTGAGAAGACAGGACACACATGAAAAGAAATAAGACCGATGGAAGGTGGCCTTGAATGTGATTTGTGAATGACGGAGACATTGAGTCCCAGAGTTGAATGCCTCTGTGGGCGGGAGCAGCGTGAGAAGACCTGAAAGAGGAGCTTGGTATTGACTAGGCCTTAAAGTGTGTAATGAACTCAGAGCGGATGCTAGGAGTCAGGGTGGTGCTGGAGAGGTTGTGTATCTCCAAGACAGCCTTGGAGTCAGATTGACATGGGCCTGGACCCTATCTGTTCGCTCCTCCTGCTTTCTCATGAGATCCCGTCAACTGCTGGCTATTCATACACAAACAGGGATGAATTCAATCTCGTGGCAGGCAGACGGGTTGGAAGAGAGGATGTAAAGGGACAGCACACAGTAGGAACTCAATAAACAACAGCTGGTCTTAAAAATAGTAATAGAAATAGATTTAGAATTAGAATAAGTATAAAGACCAGGCCTTAATGAATAGGCTAGCGTTTCCATAGAAATCAGTCAGGCTGTAAGTAATTCAGAATAACTTCAAACAAACTGAAAATAAATGAAAGAAATAGGAATTTGAATGCTGAGTGGATATTTCATATTATTAAAAAGTTATTAAAATTTTCTTACTATAACAGTCCTGTGGATACATATTTTTATGTCATCTTTTAACAATACATACTGCAGTATTTATAGAACTGATGTGATATCTAGAATTTGCTTCAAAATAATAAAAATTCCCTGGTGGTCCAGTGATTAAGAATCTACCTTCCAATGCAGGGGATGTGGGTTCGATCCCTGGTTGGGGAACTAAGATTCCACATGCTGCGGGGCAAGTAACTACTGAGCCCACACACTCTGGAGCCCGCATGCCACAACTAGAGAGAAGCCTGTGCACCACAATGAAGAGCCCACATGCTGCAACTAAGACCCAACACAGCCAAATAAATAAATAAAGTAATAATAGGAGAAGGGATGTTAGGCTGTAGACGAAATAAAAATGATCATGAGTTAATAGTTGTTGAAGCTAAATAATGGATGCATGGGGGTTCTGAAACCCTTCTACTATAGTGCATGATTGAATTTTTCTGTAATAAAAAGTAAAAAAAAAAAATATAAGTTGGCAGGAAGGTATATATTATAGAATTTTTTCAACAGGTTTTTGGCAATTGCTAAATTACCCAAATATATATACTATGTCTTCACTGAAATTCCATTGTTAAGGGAATAATCAATAATTGTGTTTATCACAGCATTATTTATGTGCAAAATTTGGGGCAATCTAAAATTCCAAAGCAACAGTAAGAGCATTTACTGAGACTTTATAGGCCAGGCATTATCTCAATTGCTATGTGAAATGCTCACTAAATTTCCATCAGAATCTTTCATGAAGAATTCCTGAATTTTCCACATTTTACAGACAAGAAAACCAAGGAATCGTGAGGTTGAATTACATAACCAGTGTCACACAGTGTAGTCTGTAGATGAGCCAGAATCTGAACACAGGCAGGACTGGTACCAGAGTTCTACTACTGCTACACTAAAATGCTCTGTGATATAATATGTCAAATACACAGAAGCAATTCCACCAGATGGAATATATTGCAATTATTAAAATTGATGAATTATATAGGAATGGCTATGAAATGAAATAAAGAAAATTCAGAATATAAAATGGAATGGACAGAATTATCTCAGCTACACTAAATGCAAAAAAAAGAGCTACAAGAATATCAGATCTCCTTTTTAATGGTTGTCTTTGAATGATTAGCTTGGTTTTTATTTTTCTAGATTTCCAGATGTATTTTCAAATAGAATTCCAAATATATTATCTAGAGTTTTTAATTCAAAAAATTTAAATGACCGTCATACCTAGACACTTCATATAGTGGTTGAGGTAGAGGTGGGCTACAGACAAGTACACAGATGGTATTGGAACAACTGGATAGTCACAAGCAAAAGAATAAAGTAGGACCCCTACCTTACACCATATACAGAAATTAACTCAAAATTTATCAAAGACTAAATGTGAGACCTAAAACTACAAAACACTTAGAAGAAAACATAGACATAAATCTTCATGACATTGGATTAGACAATGGTTTCATAGATATAACACCAAAACACCACCACCAACAACAAAAAATAGATAAGTTGGACTTATAAAAATTTTGTGCTTCAAAAGATATTGTCAAGCAAGTGAAAAGGGGAGAAACATTTTGCAAATCATATATCTATTATGACAGTTATGTTCAGAATATTAAAAAATTCTACAACCAAACAATAAAAAGAAAAATAACCCAGTTTAAAAATGGGCTATAGATTTGAATAGACATGCAAAGAAGATGCACACTTGGCCAATAAGTACATGAAACAGTGTTTGACATTATCAGTTATTAAAAAATGCAAGTCAAAATTACAATGTGATATTCTTTCACACATTCACGGCAGAATGTGTCTTATGGAAAAGATAGTAACAAGTGTTGGTGAAGATGTGGAGAAATTGGAATGCTCATACATGGCTGGTAAGAATGTAAAACGGAGAGGTTACTTTGAAAACAGTTTGGCAGTTCCTCAAAAAGTTAGACAACATGTAATTACTATACGACTCAGCAATCCCATCTGTAGGTATATACCCAAGGGAACATAAAACATAAGTTGATACAAAAAATGTACATGAGTGTGAATAGCAGCATTATTCATAATAGCCAAAATAAATGGAAACATCCCATGTCCATCGCCTAATGAATGGATAAACAAAATGTGGCACAACCACACAATGGAATACTCTTTTGGAAATAAAAGGAAGTAAAGCACTGAAAAATCCACAGCATAGACGAACATTGAAAACATTATGCTAAGTGAAAGAAACCAGACACAAAAAGGCCACTTATTGTATGATTCTATATATTTTTTGAAATATCCAGAATAGGCAATTCCTAGTGACAGAAAGTTAGATGAATGGTTTCCAGGGACTGGGAGAAAGGTGAATAGCTCCTAAGGGGTATGAGATTCCTTTTAGAGATGATGAAAACATTCTAATATTATGGAGTGGTGATGGTCATGCAAGTTTGTGAATATAGTAAAAACTCCTGAATTGTACTGTTGAAAAGGGTGAATTTGGGGTATGTAAATTACATCCAAAAATAAAAAAAGAGAAACACATAAAACAATAACAAAAAAAACCCTACATATTTGAATCCTATTAACACATTCCTGTACAGGATGAAATTAGGGTCAAAAACGGGAAAAAGGAATCAAAAAATGATGAACCTCCAGCTCTGACATTTATTAGCAATCACTAAACCAGTGTGATGGTCAGTATTTTTACATGTTAAATGCAAATATTGCTTCTTCCCTCCTAGCTTGGGGATAAGGAATAAATGTTGCAGTCAATAACTGCTAGCTAGTTTGTGATTATCATTCCTTTGTATAACACTCAGAAACAGAAAATGGGTCAATAGACAGTGGTTCTAGCCCAGTCATTGGTCATGGACAAATGTCTTTAATTCTACACCAGATATTTCCAGGATTGGCATCCCCTAAAATGTACATGCCATGGAAAGTTAACATAAAAGACTGCCCTAACAGAGAACAGTTTTATCCAGGACAATATTGGAGCTAAGGTTTCCCATTTGAGTCCCAAGCCACACTTCTCAGAGCCAACTGGCATTGCTCAAAGATGCATTTAAAAGGTTCATCTCACGTACTTTGCAACTGCTGAATATAAAGGGAATCATTTCCTTAGATTTATGAGATGGGGGAAAAGTTCACAGTGAAATATGAAGGAAGCTGAAAAGGCTAAGCAAATATCTGTCAAACTAAAACATGGGGAGAGAGCACAGCAGACATTTCAAAAAATACAGTCAAAAGATGCAGTGGCATGGGCAGAAGATAATGAATAGGAATTGTTTTAGAGAAAGGAGCCAATGGGAAATTAGGCTAAATTTAGAGCAAGATGATCTATGAGATGTTTGAATAATGTCTCTGGAGAAATACAGAGAGGTCTACTGTTTTTCTTTATTTTTTTTCCCAAATAGACACTGGGTATATATCTTGTAAAATAATGCTAGTATATTTTAGGGACTGGGTTTGGTGGTGTTTATTCTGCATTTGCTTCTTCTACCCTGTGGGGCCAGTCTAAGGGTGGCATTCAAAATTTCAGAGGAAGGCTTCCCCGGTGGCGCAGTGGTTGAGAGTCCGCCTGCCCATGCAGGGCACACGGGTTCGTGCCCCGGTCCGGGAAGATCCCACATGCCGCGGAGCGGCTGGGCCCGGGAGCCATGGCCGCTGATGCCTGCGCGTCCAGAGCCTGTGCTCCGCAACGGGAGAGGCCACAACGGTGAGAGGTCCGCGTACCGCAAAAAAAAAAAAAAAAAAAAATTCAGGGGAAGTTATTCCAGAGACTTCCACCAGTGTGAAAATGCAGGAGCACTTTGTTTTAGAGAGCCTACTGGGGTGGGATCTCTTATTTCGAACTCCCATGTAGGACCGACACTCTGTTGGCCCTGTAATTTCTACCATTAATTTTCTCCTGAGGAGCTCAATGCTTCCCAGCAATAACAAGCAAGTAATTCAAACTAATTGGGGAGGAGGCCAGTGTCAATGAATGAAGAGCTTAAATTATAGTCCTTCAAAGAGAACACTGGGTGCTTTTTCCCCTGCTGTCTTTAAGTTCCAAGAGTAAGTTGAACTAAAATAAAGCATTGTTTGTTAAGGGTGTGCTTGCAAAATGTGTTTTAATGAACTGACAAGAATTATTTGTAATTGCCATCATTGTCTGTATGTAAATGGTGTTTCAAAGTGATTAAAACATTTTATTTTAATAGTTTAAATGCTTCTCTTGAAATATTGTTTACATTCTTGGTCAACAAACTTTTTTTCCATCAATAAATTAAACTTTAAAAGATTCTGCGAAGATTGATAGTAGACCAAATCTTTTGTCCTTCTAGTTGAAAAATACTAAGTATGGATACTGAATAATGAGTTTTTACAGTTTGTAGTTATTTTTAATTGATCCAGAGAATTTACACCATAACCATCATTCCTTGTTTAAGGTGTATATCCAACATATTTAGCTTTTATCAATGACATGAATTCATAAGATTAGGAGGGTGTGTGGAAAGGCACTGGGGCAGGGAATTTTTTTTTTTTTTTTTTGGCCACAGGGCGCAGCATGTGGGATCTTAGTTCCCCAACCAGGGATGGAATGTGTGCCCCCTGCGTTGGAAGTGTGGAGTCTTAACCACTGGATGACCAGGGAAGTCCCTGGGGCAGGGATTTTGACTCCTGTGCTCTATTCTCAGCCCCCTGAGGAATTAATGTGAATCTTCGGGCAAGACTTTTAAAGCCTCAGACCCCACTCATGTCATCTGCAGAACAGGGAGATTTTACTAAATACATGATGTGGATTTTACCAACTCACCTACACTCTCCGCATTGTAAAATTATTTACAATGGCTTCAAGGTCTCTAAGGGTTTTCCAAGGCTAGATTCTATAATTCTTTGATTACATTTGTGGATGGAGAAATTGGAAACGGAAAGGTTAGTACAACAGAAATGACAGTCCATCTCTCCCGGGGCTCAACTGGCTCTAGGTCACGTCAAGTGTGTTTTCCTGTTCCTATCCATCCAGTTCAACTGGACTGCCAGTATCAATGCACAAGAAGAATGAGTATATGTAATTATGTTAAGGAGCTATGCAGAGTCTCTAAAGAGAGGGAAACTGAGGAAGAGTAAATGATTGTATAAGGACTGTCTAGGGCATGGGTTTCCTATGACTTCACTACAACCTGTAGGCACTAAAACACAGCACATGGGGAAAACATAAGTTTCTATTGTACCTTTTCTGCAAAAGGGCCCTTCGTACGGTGAATTGGTGCAGTCGCAGAAGTATCCACTGTGCTTCTCCACACACTTGCCTCCGTTGTGGCAGATGTGGCCGTAACTGCTGCAATGGCCCGGGCATCCGGGCCGGACTCCAGACGTGACCTTTGCCCTCTCCTCCAGGTCCAGTTTCTGCCCATTCAAGTGTAAGGAGCGTATGCATCCTAGGAAGCCTTTCTGTCTTGATGATGTTCCCCCTGTGCAGTGAAAAATAAAAGGAAAAAAATATATAAGGTACAGGGTTCACATTTTTGAGGTTTAATATCAGCAGTGGTGATAGTTAATTATTGTGCTGTTGGCATCCTGTGTTGGGCTTTTCTATTAGTTTCCGGTGAGAATTAGGAATTCAAAGAATCTGGGGAAAAGGCATGTGTTTCCTGGCTGGAAAATGAACTCCCCCACTCAAAAGATAAATAAATAAAAGACTGTGATTCATGTGGAATCCTGTACTTGACATGTTTAAGATACAAAACTTCAGATGGCCCCATTCCTTGCAAATAAAATAAAATGTGCTCTTTGTCTATAGCAGACATTTATCTGAAGGTGAATGCACAGAGTGGGATTGTCCCTCTGGTGAAGTTAGAAGCAAGGTAGGTTAGCTGCACTGAGTTAGAAAAGGCAATGAGTGTTGTAAAGCTTATGCAGCAGAGTGTCATGTACTATGAAGAGGTGTATGTTAGGACCGGACAGACATGGTGTCAAACTCCATGCCAGTAACCCATTAGACATAATGACCACTGGATCCCCTAAGCTTCAGCTCCTTGATCTGTAAAATAAGAATCAGTCTATTTCACGTGTTCATGGTAAGGCTTAGTAATCATTGGTCTTCACTATCCCTTCTCTTGAGCCCTCAAAATGGCTAGAACTAGTAGGTTGTATATATATACATACTATTGATTACCCCCAAATTATTATTTAGAAAATAAATTTTTCCTTCTGGAATACAGAATAGAATTGCAACCCAACTTTCTGCTGAGGGTATATCTTGAAGATTTCAGCGAGATTCATAATGCTTGTTGCAAATTATTTAAGAACAGAGGAGACTCAAAGTGACAGAGTGTTTTGTTACTGTTGGAAACCTAGAATCCTACCAACCTAAATCAAAGGATATTAGAAAAATGTGTAAGGAGAGACAACACACCAAGAAATAAGCCAAATTCCGACACCATGTTGACTTGGTGTTGGGAATTCTGGGAGCTCCCAGAGAAGACACAGGGCCAGCCTGCCCTTACAAAACACAAATTCTAATTGAAATAAAATGCTTTGGCCTCAAGTCCATTCAAGTGGATAAATGGAGGACACACTCAAGTCTTCAAGGTCTACAGAGTGCCCTAATGGAAAGGAGAAGGTGTTAGAAAACAAGGGCAGTCAATATTATGTGTGTTTCGTGTTTGGTAATTGAAATAATTGTTGCTTTTGTTGTGGTCATCCATTTACAATGCTTGGTGTCAGTTGATTTATCTCTTGTAAAAATAAAATACAGTGTGTGTGTGTGCGTGTGTGTGTGTAAAATAAATAAATAAATAAAATAATAAAAAAAAGAAAACAAGGGCAGTACTGATGTGTCATTTGTTTACTGTACATATCTCTCATTTCTGAGCCTCATTTACGTTTAATCCCTCATGCTACAATTTTATTAAAACTTGGTCTTGCAGATGACCGGATAAAAATATATTCCCATCAACGTGGATACAAATATGAATTCCAAATGTATTATCTCTGACCTGGAATATCATGTTAAACAAAAAACAAAGCTGTAAGTTAAATAAATGAAACTGTAATGCAAAAAAATAATAATAATAATTCTGGCATGTCAGCCTGGCAGGGTGGACAAGATAATAATTAGCAATAGGGTTGGAAGTAGGGAGAATTCTGTCTTTTCTGAATCACCCCAGGTTATCAGACCCATAATTATATGTATGGTAGTCATTGGCTTCCTCTAAAAGACTGAAACAAAATGTTTTTAAAGAATTAATCTAGTCTCTTTTTCTGAAGGCGTGATAAAACTCCACTCTATTTTCAGTTCTGATAAGTGATACCCAAGCAAGCCAGAAGGTCAAACCCACATTGCTTTCTCCTGTCTGCCTCAATTTTAATGAGTAAATCTCCTTTTAACTACAAGATAAATCAATTATAAATACAAGCAGATCATAGGGAAAGGTTCATTATTTCTTTCCTAGAGATGGTGTAGAATAAAGAGAGGAGTATTTATGTAGTCAAATGTTTTGTTTTATTTTCCCCTTTATTTTGTAGTCACTCCCTGTGGTGGATTAGAATAACTCTTCATAAATCTTGTTAGTGGCATTTTTCTTCTAAGCGGAGGTGGAGAATGCAAGATCTATTGCACATCTGCTTGCATGTGACTTAGTCAACACGTTTATAAACAGAGAAGTAGCTGGGGTGGTTTTTCCGGCAGAAATACACTCCTTGACGTTTGAGACATAAAGAGTACGGTGAGAATGACCCCAAACAAGGGGATCCTTTCAATCCTAGATTCTGATAAAACACGACACAAAGAACATGAACCAAATTGCGCAATGAACTCAATTTCCATTTTAGCCTGACTGCTTTTTATTCTTTTTATTCTTTAGAGGTTAGGCTCTCCTTTCTTCATGGAGAGGTAATATTGTAGACCAAGAATAGAATGCTTCTAGAAAGATGCTTCCCACCCACACACACCCAATCCAGTGGTTAGCACTCTCCATTTTCTGACATTACCTACTATGCGTTGTGTTGATGGAGGTGAGAATCTTCCCTGAAACTTGAATACTGTACAGAAAGGCAGCCCCAATCTTCCTTCCCCTTTCTCACTCACAGCCCTTTGCCCCCAACTCTGTCCTGTGGATATGCCCTCCCGGGTATCTCCGAATCAATCTGCTTCTTCCCACACCAAGAGCCATGTCTTGAATCCCTCTCACCCCCACTTGAATCCCTTAAACTGAAACAGGCTGGGACCGGGGACCTGGGACCCTTTGCTACAGTACTTGCACCTGGACAAACATCTCCTCAAGCAACAGATGCAAAGAAACTATGAGGGACTAAAAATAACTGCGTGCATGTGCAGCTGGGGCAAATTCTGGACAAGAAGATACAAAAAGACCAAAAAGACCAACTGCCACTTCTGAACAGCTGGGAGCAAAAGCAGGGCACTGCGTGTGCCCCCTGCATACAGCACCACCGAAGGGTGGGCAAACCACCTGAGTCCCAGTAAAGCCTTGCCTGAATTTCTTGTGTGGCCTCTATAGTCAATTTTTATTGATTGGTGTAGGCCAAGAACCCTGGTCGGTAACAGCACCACTTTCTAACGGATCTTACCACCCTCAGCCTTGACTCCTTCCACAGACTCACCACTTTGCAATCAGAGAGACCAACCAGATGTCAACATTTGATCCTGCTAGTCCTGTTTAATGCCCTTCAGAGACTAGTCATCATCCTGAGGTTCAAGATCAAATCCTTAGCCTAGATGGTACTGCATAGATCTAGCCTCTGCTTACCTCTTCATCCGCTCCTCCTGCACTCCCTGCCCTGATTTCAGTGCACCAGGCTTTCTGAACTACAGTGTCTCCCCACTGACCATGGTCTCTCTCAACTTCGGACCTCCTCCTGTCCTGTGTATTTTTTTTCTTTTTTTTGCAGTATGCGGGCCTCTCACTGTTGTGGCCTCTCCCGTTGCGGAGCACAGGCTCCGGACGCGCAGGCTCAGCGGCCATGGCTCACGGGCCCAGCCGCTCCGCGGCACGTGGGATCTTCCTGGACCGGGGCACGAACCCGTGTCCCCTGCATCAGCAGGCGGACTCTCAACCACCACGCCACCAGGGAAGCCCTGTCCTGTGTATTTATGTGGTGTATTAGGCACAGCTTTCCTCTTACTCTCCACTGTTCACTCTAGTCCATCCCTGCAATCACAAACACACACACTGGCACTCGCACACATGCATCCTTTCATCAATACTTCTGCCTACCCAGGATTTATTTTAATTAGTTGCCAATGTTTTTAAAACATGAACTACTTGAAATCTAAAAAAAATGATGATACAAATGAACTTATTTACAAAACAGAAATAGACCCACAGACACAGAACACACTTATGGTTACCAAACGGGTGGGGGTGGGGAGGAATAAATTAGAAGTTTGAGATTGACATATACACACTACTATATATAAAACAGATAAACAACAAGAACCTACTGTATAGCACAGGAAACGCTACTCAATGTTTTATAATTACGTATAAGGGAAAAGAATCTGAAAAAAGAGTATAATATGTATAACTGAATCACTTTGCTGTACACCCGAAGCTAGCACAACATTGTAAATCAACTATACTTCAATTTAAAAAAAAAAAAAAAGACCGTGCCCTTATGTTAACACTGGGCTTGGCCCAGAGTTAATTAATTAATTAATTTAATTAAATAGAACATGAACTATTTAAAAAATTCTAGTAAGTCATTCATTGAAAAATCAGAAAACCTGTTAACAATAAAGCTGCTTTCCTGCATGACAAAGCCCAGCTGCACTGGGAGAAGTTCCTGTAAGATAGGACGTGCCCTTTCCACTTGGCCACGTTCCCCACCAGGATCACTTCATTCATTTAGACTGCTTTCCTGACCCTTGCATGTATTTGAATTTTCAGCTAATGCTCTAATATATTTTTATCTCCTTCTTGCCTAGAGTTTAATATAAAGTTGAAAGAAGAACAAAAATAAATGTAGCATTATCCTTAAAGCAGATGAGAGTCATGTTTGGGAGTCTTGTACTTAATCTGCAAGCTGTTTAAGAACACGAACAATGCTTCTAATTCTAAAAAAAAATTAAACATACTTGCCGTATGATAGAAACTTTATAATTAACTCATTCAATACTCAGTGGGAAACAAGTTATTCTTCATATTATTGACATTACATAGTTGAGGAAACAGTGTCAGAGAGATTGTTTTGGCCAAAGTCAAGAATCAAATTGATTTTACGTGGCAGAGCCAGAAATCTGACTGGGATCTCTTGACCTTCAAAGCCTGAATACCTTCAAAGCCCTAAAATCCTAAAATGAGATATTTGATTAGACAAGTTTGAAATGGAGCAAGATCCTAGGGTCCTGCCTGCCCTCGTATTCTCTGCCTGCCTCTTGTCTGTAGAAAAATTTAGTCAAAGAATAAATTTAATCAGAGAAGTGAGAAAATGCAGAAGCGAAGAAAAACAG